CTTCCAGCTAGATTTCAATCAAAATTTCATCTTTCCACCAGTTCAGACCTCACCTCAGTTCAGAAATCTGCCAGGAGGAGGGGGGGCCGTTCTCACTTCCCCACCTTTGCTCATCCTCACACCACTGGGGGCTGCAGGTGCAGGGGGCACGATGCCATCCTCCCTCTCACAGTTCCTCCACGCAGGACATTCTCCAGATGCCTCTCCTCCCCTGGGAGTGGGTGAGAAAGCCATGCCCACCGCCCCTGCCACACTCTGCCTCCTCTTCTCTGACAGGGAAGGGTCTCGGGGCCTCCCCAGCCTCTCCTGGCAGATCCTGCAGCTGTGTCCCTCTCCCGGACGGACATGGGGGTCCTCATCACCTACCAACCTCACCAGAGCTCCCAAGAAACAGAAAAAGCCCCTATTTTCCTGGTCCCTCCACAACCCTCTTTCGTTCTGGATCCCTTCCCTGCTCCAGACACCCCCAGCTCCCTGGAGACTGAGCCTGGACCTCAACAGACCACAGACAGACAGACACCAGGGCCCGCCTTCAGGCAGAACTGTGCTCCTCTGTGCTTCAGAGCCCTTACCTGCAGCATGAAGACGCGGCCTTCACCTCACATGGTGGCTGCTGCGAGGTGAAGGATGAGGCTTAGAAAGCCATCTGCACAGCTTCTGCCCACCGTGGGTGGTACACGTGCTCTCGCTGCCCAGGTTGGCTTTCCTTCTGCCTGACGCCCATCCTCCACTCCAGCCAGGCAAGCTCACTGTCCCATGTGCCAGGCCCATTCGGATCCCTCACCTCCTCCCACATTCCCCGAGGGAAGTCCCACATCCTCTCAGGTGTCTGAAATGTCCCTCTGAGCCAGGGTTCCCCCATCCCCGCAACTCTGCCATCCTTTTCCAGGCCACGCCCCCTCCCTCCTCCTCCAGACAGCGAGCCCAGGACACCAGGACACTTACGCGGCAGGAGTTATCGAGGCAATTACACAGGAGAAAAATGAGACATATTAGTTGGAAAGGAGAAGGTCGGGACAGGGAGACCTGATTGTCCCCAGTATCCGTTCTTCTCACATGCTCTAGTTAGCAGAGGCCCAGAGTTTGGGATGAGCACACAGCCTTCATACATGCTAGAAATTGTAGTGATCCCATTGACAAAAACAGAGTGATAAGACACTTAGGAATAAATTCTGCAAGAAACGTACGGACAACCTATATGAAGAGAACAGACTGTCTGAATGAAGGGAAGGCACATACTGTCCTTCCAGAGGAAGATTGAACAGCATAAATATTCCAGTTTTTCCCAATTCAGTCTACAAATTAAACAACTCCAGGTAGAAATACCAACAGGATTTTTCATGGACAAACATTGATTCTAAACTTCACTTTTTAGGTTGGGTGCAATGGCGCTCACTGGTAATCACTGCACTTTGGGAGGCTGAGGCAGGAGGACTGTTTGCACTCAGGAGTTTGAAAGTAGCCTGGGCAACATAGGGAGACCTCCTCTATACTAAAAATAAACAATCAAATAAATTAGCCAGGCATGGTGGCACGTACCTGTAGCCCCAGCAACTTGGGAAGTTGAGAAGGGAGCATCACATGAGCCCAGAAGGGCGAGGCTGCAGTAAGCTATGATCGTGCCACGGCACTCCAGCCTGGGCAACAGAGCGAGACCCTGTCTCCAAAAACACAAAAATAAAGATAAAGTTCACTTTTTAGAAAAAATCAATAGAAAATAGAATGATATTAAACTACGTTATAGAGCCATAATAGTAGAGCAGTAGAGCACTGAGGCATACACACGCAGGAAGATTCGGAAAAAGAAGAGAGAACCCAGAGATAGCCTCAAACACATTTTAAAAACTTTGCTGTATTATCAATCAAGATGGTGTTTGAAATTGGTGGAGAAAGGCAGATTTTTCAAGAAAATATATTGATATTAACATTTTCTAGGGGAAAAAAAGGTTGGCATTACCTTGTTTTATACATCAAAATAAGAAATATGTTGGCCAAAGATTAAACATTTTAGGAGCCAGGCATGGTGGCTCAGGCCTATAATCTCAGGTACTCAGGAGGCTGAGCCAGGAGGACCACTTGAGGCCAGGACTTCGAGACCAGTCTAGGCGACGTAGCATCCCGCAAAAAATAAAAATAAAAATAGCTGGGCATGATGGCTGAGGTGGGAGGATCACTCAAGCCCAGGAGTTGGAGGCCACGATAAGCGATAAGCCTACCTGTGAAGAGGCATTAGATTCCAGCCTGGGCAACATCGAGAGAGTCTCCATCTCTGAAAGGAAGGGGAGGAAACTTTAAAAAAAAATTTGAGTGGGGAAGGGTTTTCAAAGTATAAAAAAACTTTAGAAGTCATAAAAGACTGATAATTAAGACAATGCAAAAAGATTTTTAATCCTAGATGGCAAAAAATAAAACTAGTCAACTAGAGAAAAATACATATTTGCAATATGTCATGAACAACAGCCAATTTCCTTAATATGTAAAGAGCTTCTGTAAGAAAAAGTCATAAACCATTAAAAAACGGGCAAAGGATATGAACCACAATTTTGCAGAAATGAAATGGAAATGGCTCATAAGCATATTGAGGATGATCAGCTCCAGTTTTACTAAGGAGCAAATTCAACTTAATGAGATGTTTTCCTCCCATCATGTTAAGTTTCAGAACTTTCATTCATTGACACGACTTCCATGGATGGTCCTTGAGCAAGAAATTTACAAAATACACACCATCAGTTTCAGAATTTACACGCTTCTAGGAATATAGCCCTCAAATTATACTCTCACATGGAACGCTGCGTATGGAAAGCCACTCGTTGTGGCATCATTTTTAGTTTGAATGTGTGGGAAATAAAAACTATCAGCAGGGGCTGCGTCACTAAATGACAGACGGCCTCTCCATCACTGACTGCAGCCAATAAAAAATAAAGCATCCATTCATTCACGTCTATTTACCGAGTGCCACCAACCCTGGGGACACATCCACAGACCAGAAGTCATGCCCTGGTGAGAAGGAGACAACCAACACATAAGTCAAATGGGGAGGGAAGTGCCAGGGAAATAGGACCAAGGGGTCAGCTGCTGCTGCAGCCTCAGACAGGCCGTCAGGATAGACTCACCAAGGCATCTGAGCAAGGCTGGAACCAGATACCACCAGGAGCCTGTGTGCACTGGGCAGGGGGAAGCAGGGGGAGACAGACAGGGTCAGGAGATGAGGAGGTGAGGGCAGATCCAGCAGGACCACCAGGATTCCTGGAGTGAGCTGGCACGCAGCCATGTGATCCAATTCTCATATTTTAAAAGCATGCCTGGCTGGGCACGGTGGCTCATGCCTGTAATCCCAGCACTTTGGGAGGCCAAGGCAGGTAGATCACAAGGTGAAGAGATCAAGACCATCCTGGCCAACATGGTGAAACCCCATCTATAGCAAAAATACAAAAAAATTAGCTGGGCATGGTGGCACATACCTGCAGTCCCAGCTACTCGGGAGACTGAGGCAGGAGAATCACTTGAACCTGCGACATGGAGGTTGCAGTGAGTCAAGATCGTGCCACTGTGCTCCAGCCTGGCAACAGAGGGAGACTGCATCTCAAAACCTAAAACGGAAGCATGCCTATGGCTGCTACGCTGAGGGCAGGCTGAAGGGGTGAGTGGATGAAGGTGGGGAGATGAGGCAGAGGCCTTTGCAATAATCCAGGCAGAGATGATGCTGGCAGGGAAGGTCCACTGGTTGCTCTCTCTGCTGCAGGATGTTCTTCGAGACACATTGTTACATGAAAAAAAAGTAAGATCCTAAACTAGCACCCATGAGACACAGCACACGCCCATATTTATGCTTCACTGAGTATAGAACATATTGGGAAGACCACTTGAGAATGAGATATTGCTGCTTCATGGAAGGAGAACTGAGCAGCTTGTGGACAGGGACAGCATGGAAACTGACCTTTTCATTTATCTCTTTTTGCACCTTTTGAATTTTAGACTCTGTACATAGAGTATATTGCTTATTAAAAATTAAACTACTGATTTTTTTAAAGTACCTTAAATATTTGAGAGGAAAATATTTGAACATAAGAGATACAGAAGATTAGTCAAAATTTTTTATTTGTAAAGAATTGCTCACTGGGCACAGTGGCTCATGACTATAACCCCAACACTCTGGGATTTGAGTTTAGGAGTTTGAGACCTGCCTGGGCAACACAGGGAGACTAATGATCCACCCGCCTCGGCCTCCCAAAGTGCTGGGACTACAGGCGTGAGCCACTGCGCCCGGCCCTAAAATAAATTTAAAATAGAGACATATATTAAATTTTATATTTAAAAAAGAATTCCTAAAACCTGTAAGGAAAATGGACTATGGCCATAAATAGAGAAGGAAATGCAAATGGCCAGTGAACAGTGACACCCACTCTCATCAGGAACTAGAGGACAAGATGCCATTATGGGCTGACAAATTGGCGAAAATTAAAACATTTTAAAGGCAAGGAAGGGGACGGTGCAGTGTCTCACACCTGTAATCCCAGCACTTTGGGAGGCCAAAGTGGGCAGATCAGGGGTCAGGAGTTTGAGCCCAGCCTGGCCAACATGGTGAAACCTCATCTCTACTGTAGAATACAATAATTAGCGGGGTGTGGTGGCGTGCTCCTGAAATCGCAGCTACTAGGGAGGCTGAGGCAGGAGAATCGTTTGAACCCGGGAGGCGGGGGTTGCAGTGAGCTGAGATTACACCACTGCACTCCAGCCTGGGCACTTGAGTGAGACTAGGTCTCGAAAAACAGTAATAATGATAAATCAAATCCATAAAGTCAAGGGCGGGAACTCTGTGTAAATGAAGGTCTGAAGCTGTCTGGGAAAAGAAGCGGCCCCTGGTCAGCCGAGAACCCTGCGGCAGCAGCCCCGCCTTGCCCCGACTCTGCCAGGCCAGGCTGCTCCTGCAGCCCCCGCCTCGCAACATCCAGACGCAAACCGCGCGGCCTGAGTCCGCTTCCCGCTCCACGTCACCCAGGAACGCGGAACTGCAAACGCTCTGCCCCCGGTCGGGACCCAGCGTCCAAACCCAGCCGCCTCCATGGTCCTCGGCCGCCTGGGGCCACGGGCGTCTCCCGGGTCCGACTCCAGAGCGCGTTTCTTGGGAGAACGGCGGGCACGGGCTCAGGGGCCCGTCCCAACCCGGCGAGGCCTCGTCTCGACCACATCTGCAAAGGCCCGATTTCCAAATAAGGTCGCGTTCCCGGGTCCCAGCGGACACGAACCCGGGGCCCGCGCACCCCGGCGCCGCCGCCAACCCCGGCACCGCGCGAGACCCACAAGGCCGCAGGGGACGCGCGCAGCGCGGGCTCCTCCTCCTACAGCGCACGGAGCTGGCCCGCGCGGAGCCTCCCCTCCATCATCTGCGAGGATTTCCCTTTTAAACGCGAAGGCACCTCCGTGCTCATCGCTCGCGTGACTCCACGCGGCACCCGCGGGCGCGCCTGCCCGGCCGCCCCCGCAGCCCGAATCTCCGCCCGGCGCAGCTCTGCGCGCTGCCGCCCTCCTGCCAGCAGGGGGCGCAGCCGCCGCTCTCCCCGGAAGTCCCGCCCTGGCCGGAAGTGGGACGTCCATGCGTCTGGAAAGATGGCGGCGTCCAGGAACACTGTGGAGGCCGGCCTGGGTGGATCCCGGGGACGGGTGGTCCGCATGAAGCGCAGAGGCTGCCGCGGGTCGCGCCGCGGCCCTGGCGGCGGTGGGGAGAAGGTCCTGAAGAGGCTTAAGCTAGCGGTGGAAGAGTTCGTGCAGGCGACCTCCGAGGGCGAGGCTCCAGTGAGCTGCGGGGGGCGCGGCGCTCCGGTGCGCTTCCGCCCGGGAGGGAGGAAAAGCCGCAAGGAACTGAGGAAGGAGAAGCGGCACCTGCGGAAAGCACGCCGGCTGCAGAGGTCGGCGGGCCCCAACCAGGGTCCCGGCCCCGGAGGCGGAGCCGCAGAAGCTAGTGGTCCCCGGCGGGACACAGAGGACCGCGCCCGCCCAGCTCCTAGTCGGGACCCCTCGCCTCCCAAGGAGCCGCGGCCGTCCCGGGCCAGGGCCAAGGCCAAGGTCCAGGCCCCTCCCGGGAAGACCAGACCCTCCGCAGCCGCCACCGCCGCTGCCCGGAAACGGGCGCTTCTAGCGGCCAACGAGGAGGAGGACCGAGAGATCCGAAAGCTGGAGCGTTGCCTCGGCTTGAACAAGCGCAAAAAGAAGGACGGCGGCAGCTCCATACCGCTGAGCTTTGCACGCGACGGGCTCGACTATATTCTGGGAGCCCTGGAGTCTAAGAAAAATAGCGGCTTGTACGACAGCAGTGGTGAGGAGGAGGAGGAGGAAGATGCCGGACAGACACTCCCCGAAAGTGACTTAGAGAGCGACTCCCAGGACGAAAGTGAGGAGGGCGAGGAAGAGGAGGACATAGAAAAGGAAAAGAAGGCGCTGCAAGCGGAGAGCGAGGACGACGACGAGGATTTAGAACAGGAACCGGGGGAAGAAAAGGAAAAGGGATCGCAGGAGAAAAGGAGGGAGAAGGGAGTCCGTTTTACAGAAGGTGAAGAAAAGAGTGAAAATTCCTCGGAGAACGGTGACGTAACCGATCAGGTATCGTGTGAACACTCTCTAGGCCCTGTGAGATTTCCTTCAAAATAACGGGGCCGGGAGGGAGCGTGGGACGGAAATGATGCAGCTTGGTGTATTGATAATGGTTTCAGCTGAATGTGAGTAAATCAAGTAAGTTACTCTTTTGAGTCTACTTTCATGTTTTTAAATTTTCGTAATGTAAAGTTTAGGGGAAAAGCCATGCAGAGACGTTTTTATTCCGGGGACGTACGGGCCATTTCCACAATGCGGCATCTTCGTTCTCTTTACCCGTCCAGGTCTCTAAACCTGTTACCACCCACCCGGTCTGTTCAGGCCTCTTTCGAATATCCAAGGACATCTGCCGGTCCGACTTGCTTCTAGAGTGAATTTTCTAAAACACAAAGCTCATTTGCAGTACTTCCTTGGATAAAGTACAACATTGAATTAAAGATAAAGTTCACGCCTGTTATCTCAGCACTTTGGGAGGCCGAGGCAGGTGGATCATTTGAATTTGAGGTCAGGAGTTTGGGACCAGCCTGGCCAACGTGGTGAAACCCCGTCTGTACTAAAAATAGAAAAAATAGCTGGGCATGGCGGTGCGCCCCTTTAATTCCAGCTACTCGGGTGGCTGAGGCTGAACCAGGGAAGCAGAGGTTGCAGTGAGTCGAGATTGCGCCACTGTCTCCAGCTTGGGCGACAGAGCAAGACTGTTTCAAAGAAAGAATAAATAAAGATGAAGTTAAGAATTCAGGACGTAGCTGTCAAGGTCCTCGTGGGCTGTCTTCTTGCTTATTTTGTCTCAGCTTTCCTTTGCCTGTAGCTAATGGTTGGAGTCAGCTGTCTAGAATTGCCTGTGTTTCCTTTTCCCCATATCGTACTAGTTTTATTTATGTAAATATTCTTTACTGAACCAGGTTTAAACTACCTAGCAGTGAGGATCCTGCCTTAGAAATGTCTGTGTCCTCAATAATTTGCAAACACCTCCACCCCTCTTGGTAATCTAGGAAATAGCAGTGAGTTGGTTTTGATTTTTATCATATAAACTTAGATACTACTTTTAAACAAGTTTGAAATTATTTTTAGGACACTTTCCCTCCGAAACTAGCGGTATGTTTCATTGAGGTGTTTGTATGCTACGGTGCCAGCAGTAAATAAGGCTGAGCAAAAGCGCAGCAGATGGGGTTGTGCTGGAGTTGGACGGATGCCACAGGTGCACAGCCAGGGTTGAAGACCTGCAGGGGAAGCCAGATGATGAAAGTGTTGTGAATAGCAGTAACGGAAAGAATGACAGGCACGGCCTGCTGCCGGTACTGTTTACCCATGTGCTAAGCACTCAGTAAATCGGGTATTTTTAAGCAGCAGTGATCAGTGGTAGCTTCCACCAGTTCTTGCAGATTTAATATTTAAAAGCACATATGACAAAGGAAAAAACAGGATTTGGGCAGTGTAAATTTTTTGTAATCTGTTTCTCTTTTCAAGCAGAGTCTTTGTGAAAGTGGTGAAAGGTATGTCCCACCTCATGTGAGGCGAGCTGAGGAAACAGTGGACTTCAAGAAAAAGGAAGAACTAGAAAGGCTAAAGAAACAAGTGAAAGGTCTCCTTAACAGGTGATGTTGCAATATTGTTACATTGTGTCACTTAAAGAGGTTGTCTGTTTTCTAAAAATGTAGGAATCATCCCAACAATTCTAATAGAAATGATGGGACAGTCGGTTGGATCCTTTGTGTCCTTGTCTTGATGCACCCAGACCCATACCTTGAGAAGGAGAGGATACGCAACTGTTGGATACTTTGAATCCCTTCAGGGTTTGAGAATCCCCAGATGCTCACATTGTTCTTCTAAGAAGCTGAAAGGAATGGGACAGAGGTTCTGTGTCCCTCTAAGGACAGTGATGGAAGGACTGGCCTGTGTCCCCTCTGCAGAAACACATTCACCTGGTCTTCCCTCCCCCTTACTCATTGCTCATGTCTGTATTTTGTTGATATAAACTGATTGGAAATCATACAGGCGAGGCTCTGTCAGTTGCGCCTGCCCATCAGCTCTTTGGTTTTGAGGGTGTGTGTGTGCATGTGATTCTGTGTAGTTTTATCACATGCCGATTTGAGGCACCAGCATCTCTCATGCTGGCCCTCCGTGGGCTCACCCAACCCCCTTCCCCTTGTATTGCTTTTGTTTCCTTTTATCCTGGAAGTGGACTGTAACCCTCCATTTGAATGTTGTGTGCAGTGTTAGCGCAGGTGCACAATGAAGAACCTTCCATGTACATGTGTATGCGGCCTTCCCCCACACTACCCGTTCAAACAGAGCAACCTTTTCCAGTGTTAGGAACTAAGTAAGGTAACTGTGCTACCTGAGAAATGAAAAAGTTAGCATTTTTCCTAACAACACATCCTAAGGCTGGACCCTGCCTATGGAGGTATCAGATCAGGATATGCAGGGAGTATCCTCAGCTGCTAAAGAGAATCTAGGGCCTGCCTCAGTATGGCCACATTTCATCTTGTGACAACAGCAGTTACATGTTTGGCATTCCAGATATTATGTGGTTACGGATGATACAGGCTGGGTTGTTGGGGCCAGATAAGAACTGTTAAGAGGTCAAAAGTGCACATAAAAATAGAATACATTGGCCAGGCATGGTGGCTCACACCTATAATCCTAGCACTTTGGGAGGCCGAGGCTGGTGGATCACCTGAGGTCGGGAGTTTGATACCAGCCTGACCAACGTGGTGAAACCCCGTCTCTACTAAAAATAAAAAAATTAGCCGGGTGTGGTGGCTCATGCTTGTAATCCCAGCTACTCAGGAGGTTGAAGCAAGAGAATCCCTGGAACCCAGGAGGCAGAGTTTGTGGTGAGCCAAGATTTCGCCATTGCACTCCAGTCTGGGCAGTAAGAGTGAAACTCTGTCTTGAAAAAAAAAAATAAATAAATATGTATATATGTGTATACACACACACACATATATATACACACATATATATAATTGAGGGTATGGGGGTGTGCATCTTATATATATAAATACATATATTTTTGGTATTGATAACTCTTAATTTTTTTAAATTGAACTGAAAATTCCTATTGGAAACATTGTTGCTTTCTGTCTTTACAATTCTCTGCAGGCTGAGTGAACCCAACATGGCTTCCATCAGTGGGCAGCTGGAGGAGCTCTACATGGCCCACAGCAGGAAGGATATGAATGACACCCTGACCTCCGCCCTCATGGGTGCCTGCGTCGCTGCCTCAGCCATGCCCAACAGGCTGATGATGGAGCATGTTCTCTTAGTCAGCATCCTTCACCACACGGTTGGAATCGAGGTACTCTTGTACCTTTTCTCCACACTGTCACTAGTGTCTCATGGTGATCATTCTAATGATAGGCCTGATAAGTGCATAATTGTGTGCTGTGGGTGGTTTTCTTGTGTGAATTCCTTTTTGTTCTGAATAAATACTACATTGTCTATGTTATGTAATTGTAAAAAGCATCAGGAAGTACTTGATTTTGCTTAACTTTGCTTTTTTTTTTTTTGAGGCAGAGTCTTATTCTGTTGTCCAGGCTGGAGCTCAGTGGCTGCAGGCCCAAGTGATCCTCCCACCTCATCCTCCAGAATAGCTGAGGCTGCAGGCCCACACCACTATGCCTGGCTAGTTTTTTTGGTGGTGGTTGCCGGGGGGCAGATGTGGAGTCTCACTCTCCTACCCAGGCGGGTGTCAAATTCCTGGGCTCCAGTGTTCCTCCTGCCTTGGCCTCCCAACATGCTGGGATTACAGGCAGGAGCCGCCATTCGCAGCCCTGTTGTGTCCAGTCTAGCATGTCTCGGTATGTTCACTGTCTCTGACTCACAGCTCAGACCTCATTCCCTTTGCACTCCTCCTTTAACAATGATTGGTTTCAGATGTCTGGAAGGTCACGGCGTGGTATTGCCCCTGAGGTGTTGGTGTTGGTGGGTGACGTGAGAGCTCTGGAGTTCGAAGCTGCCTGGAGGCCCGGTTCCCTTTCTGTGTCATGACCCTGTCTTGTCAGTGAAGTGGGCTTTTGTTGGGATTGAATTGAACAGTGCAGGAAGCATCCGGCACTCGACAGGTGCTAAGTGAACGCCCGCCCCACCCCCCATCCCTTTCGTATGCTTCCTTGCTGAACGAACCCCTGGTGTTTAAAGCCAGGGAGGCTCTTGGTGATGACCCTGGTTCCACAGTCATTGCCCTCCTCTGCGCCTGTTCTCTCTAATACAGGAAAGTCAGAACCCTTCTACTTAGTATCCCAGTTCCCTCAGGGTAGCTGATTTCAGGTGCGTTGAAGGAAGTCAGTCTGCTTAAAGGAGTTTGTTCAGAGGTAGGTGAGCGAGTGGATGGTCAGGTCGGCACAGGGTTTACATGCAAATACAGTGTTTAACCCGTTTGGATCTTTAAGTGATACAGTCCTTTTTGATGGTGGTTTTCTTAGTTTTTTGCCTTCTGACAGCTGGACTCCAAAAAATAGTCCATAGCAGCACAGCGTCCCGAAAAGGCTGATTCCTGGGTCATGTTTATATACTGTGTATCCTCCTCACCGTTGATCCCCAGTGTCCCGGTGAGATCAGGGCAGACGTTACTGAACCCTGCTTTGTGTGCAGCAGGCAAAGCCACTGAAGCGGCTGTGTGAGATTCCTAAGATCACACATCTCGTTAAAAGTATACAGAACTGGCTGGGCGCAGTGGCTCACACCTGTAATCCCAGTGCTTTGGGAGTTGTGATCCCAGGTGAGCAGATCACAAGGTCAAGAGATCGAGACCATCCTGGCCAATGTGGTGAGGTCCTATCTCTACTAAAAATATAAAAATTAGCTAGGCCTAGTGGCACGTGCCTGTAATCCCAGCTACTTGGGAGGCTGAGGCAGGAGAATTGCCTGAACCGGGGAGGTGGAGGTTGCGGACTCCAGCTGGGGCAACAAGTCACTTGAACCGGGGAGGTGGAGGTTGCGGACTTCAGCTGGGTCAACAAGTCGCTTGAACCGGGGAGGTGGTGGTTGCAGACTCCAGCTGGGGCAACAAGTCACTTGAACCGGGGAGGTGGAGGTTGCGGACTCCAGCTGGGGCCACAAGTCACTTGAACCAGGGAGGTGGAGGTTGCGGACTCCAGCTGGGGCCACAAGTCATTTGAACCGGGGAGGTGGAGGTTGCCGACTCCAGCTGGGGCAACAAGAGCAAAACTCATCTCAAAAAAAAAAAATATACACAGACCTTGTTTTCTGGGCTCCTAGGCAATCATGCTTTCTCCTACAACGCTAGTCACAGTTGTTTCGTTTTTACATTATTTTCTCTCAATTCTAATCTTAACAAGTATTTAGTCTTACAGAGTGAGACTCTCCAAAGCTTGCTCTTTAAATGCGCAGATTTGCGGAAATGAATTTGCCTTCTTGTCACTGGGGCTTCCTGAAGGCAGTGTGGTGTCGGGGGACGCTCCCTGAGTGCAGAAGGTGCTGTGCCGTGCATGGGCTGTTTCTTTCACTTCGAGTAGCTCGTGCCTCATCCAGTCGTTAGGTTAACGACTTAGTTCATGTCAGGCGTGGTAAAGAGCTGGCCCGCAGTAAGTGCTCATTGAAGGCTCATTGCTCTTTATGTACAGAGAGGGATTTTCATGTTGAAATTCTGCTCCTCCTCTGGCTTGTCCTGCCACTGCAAATCTCCTTGCTGTTCCTGGGTAATTTTATGATCCATATTTTTCCATATCTAGCAGTAGTCACATGGCCACTTCTTGAAAGGTGGTGACTCTAAGGCCTGCGGGGCATTATGAAACTGAGGGCAGGAGAGAGGGGCACAGGCCCGAGTGTCTGAGTGCAGGACTCTTCTCAGCCACATGGGTCATCTCACACATGAAAATGTGCACCTGCTACTTTGGAAACACTCTTTTGTTATTTTGTGTTTCTAAGAGCTGTCCTCATTTTCATGTATGAGAACATGGGAGTCTGTTTTCTTGCCATTACAAGGTGATGGAGTCACCGGGTGCCATTCCTGGGCCCTGTGATTACCATAATTCCAGCCCATTCTGTGACTTTCTTGGTATCTCCCTGTCCTAGAGGACACTGGTATGCTTCAGCTGACTTAATCATCAGAATGATCTTAGTGCAGACAGTATATTGGTGAGGTGCAGGAAAAGCTATAGACCCTGACCACCCACAGCACATCAGAAATTGACTTGATTGGAAAACCTGAAATTATTGGACCGACTTTCATTTAAACCTTTGCTAATTGCATGAAGGACAATGAAATAGCTTGTTCTGAGGGGAAGTCATTATAGTGCTTTAGTTAATGGCATCCATGGAAGTTTCTGCCAGTGTGCGCTGAGTGCTCAGGATCAGCTGAGCTCCATTCCGCTGCCTTCAGTGCTGGGCCGAGGAAAGCATTCTGTGTTAGAGACGATGGCGGCGGCTGCCGGATTGCAGCATTCTGTGTTAGAGACCGTGGCGGCGGCTGCCAGATTGCAGCATTCTGTGTTAGAGACGGTGGTGGCGGCCGCGGGACTGCAACATTCTGTGTTAGAGACGATGGTGGCGGCCGCGGGACTGCAGCATTCTGTGTTAGAGACGGTGGTGGCGCCGCGGGACTGCAGCCTTCTGTGTTAGAGACGGTGGTGGCGGCCGCGGGACTGCAGCCTTCTGTGTTAGAGACGGTGGTGGCGGCCGCGGGACTGCAGCCTTCTGTGTTAGAGACGGTGGTGGTGGCCACGGGACTGCAGCATTCTGTGTTAGAGAAGATGGTGGCGGCCGCGGGGCTGCAGCATTCTGTGTTAGAGAGGGTGATGGCGGCCGCGGGACTGCAGCATTCTGTGTTAGAGACGGTGATGGCGGCCGCGGGACTGCAGCATTCTGTGTTAGAGACGGTGGTGGCGGCCGCGGGGCTGCAGCATTCTGTGTTAGAGACGGTGGTGGCGGCCGCGGGGCTGCAGCATTCTGTGTTAGAGACGGTGGTGGCCGCGGGACTGCAGCCTTCTGTGTTAGAGACGGTGGTGGCGGCCGCGGGACTGCAGCCTTCTGTGTTAGAGACGGTGGTGGCGGCCGCGGGACTGCAGCCTTCTGTGTTAGAGACGGTGGTGGCGGCCGCGGGACTGCAGCATTCTGTGTTAGAGAAGATGGTGGCGGCCGCGGGGCTGCAGCATTCTGTGTTAGAGACGGTGATGGCGGCCGCGGGACTGCAGCATTCTGTGTTAGAGACGGTGATGGCAGCCGCGGGACTGCAGCATTCTGTGTTAGAGACGGTGGTGGCGGCCGCGGGGCTGCAGCATTCTGTGTTAGAGACGATGATGGCGGCCGCGGGGCTGCAGCATTCTGTGTTAGAGACCGTGGCGGCGGCCGCAGGACTGCAGCATTCTGTGTTAGAGACGGTGATGGCGGCCGCAGTGCTGCAGCATTCTGTGTTAGAGAAGATGGTGGCAGCCGCGGGGCTGCAGCATTGTGTTAGAGAAGATGGTGGCGGCCGCGGGGCTGCAGCATTCTGTGTTAGAGACGATGGTGGCGGCCGCGGGGCTGCAGCATTCTGTGTTAGAGACCGTGGCGGCGGCCGCGGGACTGCAGCATTCTGTGTTAGAGACAATGGTGGCAGCTGCCAGATTGCTTCTGTAAGTCATATAACCCTCAAAGACACAGTCTGTACAGAGTGATGTCAGAATTTCCACATCAGAATTAATGTACAGTATCTGCTTGGATATATTTACCAGCATGAATTTTACTTAATATTCTTAAATGTTATGCTGTTGTATTTTATTTTGAAGACACTACATGAAACTTCAGATTTAGAATTTTGAGAAATTTAGATGTAATTGAAAACATAATTGAATATGCTTTATGGCTGAATTTTTCTTGATGTCTGCAGAATTCTCATTTCTTTTAAAAGTTATATTTGAATATAACATGGTAGCCATAATAGACTCTATCTTTCCATTTCTCTTCATTGAAAGGGCTTGAATTGGAAAGTAGATGTGGGCTTGGTTACGTCTCGGGTCTTTACAAACTGAAGGGTATATCAGGTCCATCAGAGCCGGCCTCTAAGGAGTCCCTGTGGCCCCTGCAGGTCTGTTGGCCTTTCTTTGGGTTCTTGTAGCACTGAATTTTTGTCAGTCCAGCAGTGATGTGTGTGTACTTCCCATTATACTCAAGCCTGAAGGTGGAGCTCAGCCTGTGATTTTCACTGACATGCTGCACACCTCCATCAGTCCTGCCTGGATGGCCCTGTGGGAGCTTCAGCAGCCCCTAAGCTGGTTTTGTCCAGCCCCAGGAGCCTGCTGCCTCTCACATAGTTCCTGGTTACCCAGACCAGAAACCTGGGAGTCACAGACCCTTCAGTTTTACAGCCAGTGTCACGCATTGCCATGTGTCACTGTGGTTGCCAGCCCCTGCATCCCTGGTCCAGCGCGGCTGCTTTATTTAGGCCATCACCTCCTGCTAGGCTGTGGGTGTCATTCTGTGTCACCAGCATGTCCCTGCTTCTGCCTTCTCCCTCCAGTCCAAGCTTAAGTTGAGATGTGAGAGAAAATGATGACATGACAGTGATGCCAGTGAGATTGAAACCACCTTCTGCCCTAAGTGTTGTTATCTCTGTTTTACACAGTGAAGAAACAGAAGTCCAGGCACTTGCTAGAGACCACACAGACCCACGTGCAGGTTGCCTCATCCTGCAGTGTCCACTTACTGAGTGTGGGTTAGAATGTACCACGTGCAGGTCTCCTCATCCTGCAGTCCACGGTTATGGAACCTGGGATAGAATGTACCAGAACAGCATAAGGAGAACGCTGTAGGCCTTGCTTAGCTCCACTAGCCTGGCAGTTCCTGGCCCCAGTTCTGTCCCTCAGGGCAGGGTGTGGTTTGCCACCTGGTCCCCATCAGGGCCTGGTCAGTGCCTCTCAAACCACGGGCTGAGCCAAGTGAGTGTATTCACAAGCTGCTTTAGTGCCAGAGCCTCAACCCTGGGAAAGCAGGGCGCTCCTCACGGCACCTGGGTCCCTTCTAGTGGTTACTAAGTATTTGTCTACTGGGCAACCTCTGATATTACTTGAGAATGTGTTGCATTTATCTGTCTGCTTTACTGCTTCCTTGAAAGAGATTAATTTGGGGTAAAAATCTGCAAACAATCTTTGAAGAAATGATTAGATAGTGGAACATTTTGAGAGCTATAGACGTATTTTTAACAACATTTTTAACAGTTTTATTTTTCCAGGGAGTCAGAACAGTTGCTGGCCAACCCATTCCCCTTCATTGTTGATTTTAACGAGAGGAAGGTGCCCTCGTGTCCAGGCTGGGACGCTGTGGCCGGTGGCTCTGAGTTGCCGAGGGATGCCTTGTTGAAATGCTCCTGATGCTTTGTTGGTTTAAACAGTGCCATTTCTGTTTGTGGAAGTAGAAACGAAGGTTTCCAGGAATAGCGTAATGACCCTTTTTCTGTACGGCTCTTTCAGGTCGGTGCTCACTTTCTGGAGGCGGTGGTGAGGAAGTTTGATGACGCCTATAAACACGGAAGCGAAGGGAAAGAATGTGCCAACCTGTTCACCATTATTGCTCATTTATACAACTTCCACGTGGTGCAGTCTCTCCTCGTCTTCGACATTTTGAAAAAACTTACTGGAACTTTCACCGAAAAAGATATTGAACTGATCTTGTTAATGCTGAAAACTGTGGGCTTTTCACTGAGAAAAGATGATGCTTCATCACTCAAGGGACTGATCACCGAAGCCCAGACCAAAGCCAGCAGCTCAGGCCACAGGTTTCAGGACCAGACCAGGGTACGCGTGCGACGCTCAGTCTGCTTCCTAGGTCCCTACGCTCACACACTGGCCAGAACTTAAAAATCAGTATCTGGGGTAAATAGTACACTTCTTTCCTAATGATTTCTGTTGTCTCTGTCTCATCCCGTTTTCTGGCTTTAATATGTGAATGAACCTTATTCCTTTACTAAGAACTCAGAGAACTATTTTGTGAATTTAAAAATTGATTTATTTAACATTCATCCATTCAAAAAATGTTTCCTGAGGAGGCCACAGGACATGGGGCTCTAGGGTCAGCCTGGGTTGAACTTCAGCTCTGCCACTTAACGGTAGCATAAGCTGGATCCTCTGAGCCCCAGTCCCCCTCTGTAAAACAGGGACTGATGACAGCTCCCACTTTGTGTGCTGTTCAGATGACGAGAAGTGTGGAAGCCCTTTGGGGAGGAACACAAAAAGGGTTAGTGTGAGAGCCGTGAGGGGACATCACAAGAGAAAAAGGCAGAGTCCAGGTCTCTGGACCCTTGTTAATGACCTCAGGGAACTGAGGGTTTTATCCTAGAGGCGTCTGAAGGGTTCCGGGCAGGTGAATGACAGGTTGGAGTTTTCCTTCTGATGGTCACTTTGACTCCTAGTAGAAAGAGACGTGAGGCAGCTGGGGTAGGAGGGAGTTTTGCAGGAGCTGGGGAGTGGATGGTGGCACATGTTGGGATTGTGGCAGCAGGTGTGGATGTGGACCTTAGAAGTGACCAGACCTCATGTGAATTGGGGTGAAGGGAAGGAGGGCTCAGGATCACCTGTCGGGCACAGGGGGCTGTGTAGGAGTAGGTGAGGATTTAGAAGAATGGGCAGCTTCATTTCTGAAAGACTGAAATTAAATCTCCTGAGTTAGCTGTGAACGGAGTGGGCTGAAGGGATTCAGGGCTGCTCTCGTAGAGGGGGTCCTAGGAGCCATGGAAGTGGGGGGACTCGCCTGGCATGGGGTGGGCTGTGAAGAGGACTTTAAGGTTAAGGAGCACTGACATTTAGCTACAGGGAGGAGGGAAAGCTGGCAGGTGAGAACGAGAAGGCATCAAGAGGGAGGAGGAAATGAGGACAGTCCCAGGAGCTGGGATTCCCCTAGTGTCCCCAGGAAGAATTCATGCCCTTGCGGGATGCTAAGGACCAGCAGGAGGAAGAAGGGATTTGCATTTTGGGCTAAATTGTGACAGTGGTCCCTATTGGCCTGTCCTGGTCACCGAAGAAGCCAGTCTATAAAGAGGAGAGGCTAGAGAATGGAAGGGGAGCGGCAGGTTAAATGGAAAAGAGACAGAAAGTAGATGAGTGGCTGCCTAGGGCTGGGGAGTTGGGGGCACTAGGAAGCAGTTTGGAGTTTCTCTTCTGGGGTGATGAGAAAGTTCTGAAGTTGACTGTGGTGATAGTTTCACAACTCTGAATAGACTAAAAGCCACCTGATTATATACCTCACATGTGTGAGTGTTATGGACGTGAATTCCGTATCAAGAAGAAGTTGACGTTGGGGTGATCTCAGAGGGTATGCGGGGATTCTTTGTACTGTTCTTGCAATTTTTCTGTAAGTATCATATTATTTGCAGTTTTAAAGTTAAAATCACAAGGCCAGTGGTAGGGAGAGGGTGTCACACAGGTCGCCAGGGGCTAGGGTGGGAGCAGGAGCACAGGAGGGGCTGAGATGGCCAAGGTGGGGTGGATGGTGCGGACAGGTGAGGTGTGTGGCAAGCAGAAGGACAAAGTGAGATTGAGGTTGAGGGACACATTCTGTTTTAAAATATTACGTAACGCTGAGTAAGCGGTGAGGCTGGTTTAGACCATCTCTACCTAAAGACCGTTGTGACCTTGTACCGTACCAGTGGTGGCCAGGTGCATCGGGCATGGTCGATTTCTTGCCAACTTGAGCAGTTTAGACTGTTTGAAACGATGGACTTTTAATTTGTTTAACGTTTTTCTTGAAGATTCGGTTTATGCTGGAGACGATGTTGGCCCTGAAGAACAATGACATGCGCAAAATTCCAGGCTATGATCCCGAACCTGTGGAGAAGCTGAGGAAACTGCAGAGAGCTTTGGTGAGCCAAGGAACTTGCCATTCTGCTTTGCTCAGAGCTTCTATGTTAGCGTGAGCCCGCTGTGAAAATCAAGAAGCAGTCAGACCTGCCAGTCAGGGTAGCGTCCGGTGAGCGAGAGCGCTTGGAGGCAGCACGAAGGCTGCTCGGTTTTCCTTGGGGCTCTCCTGGTGGTCTGGGCATGCTTGCTCCTGCAGAATGTCCGTGCATGGGGCAGCCCATGATGGGAGAGCATCCTCTTTGCCTAACCCCGGGTGCTAAGCTTGGGCTGCACCATTGGATTATCCGGTGCTTTCAGAGAAGGCCAAGGCCCCACCTGGATCAAGAAAATCAGAATGACTTAGGTTTTTGTTTTTTTTTTTTTGAGATGGAGTTTCACAGTTGTTACCCAGACTGGAGTGCAATGGCGTGATCTCGGCTCACCACAACCTCCACCTCCTGGGTTCAAGCAATTCTCCTGCCTCAGCCTCCCGAGTAGCTGGGACTACAGGCATGCACCACCATGCCCAGCTAATTTTTGTATTTTTAGTAGAGACGGGGTTTCACTTTGTTTACCAGGATGGTCTCGATCTCTTGACCTCGTGATCCACCCGCTTCGGCCTCCCAAAGTGCTGGGATTATAGGCGTGAGCCACCGCGCCCGGCCGACTTAGGTTTTTTGGCTGTCTCTGACGTGCAGCCAGGATGGAGACCCAGCAGCCTCCCTGTCAGAGAGAGTCTTTCAGCCCCTGTCACCCCAAGTCCAGATTGTCGTTGACTCGGGCTCTTCCAGACGTGTCCTCTGCCTGCCACTGAGCCTGAGGCAGCTCTGTCACTCTCCCCTGTTGGGGCAGCTTTCCAAACACATGTTTCAGGTGATGGACTCTCAAACACAAAACAGTGAGTTTACTGCTAGTCTTGGCATCGTTCTAAACGGGCTAACCATCCCATTTGCCAGTGAATCATTCCAGTATTCATGCACCAGAAATGTCATGGTCGAAAAACAGAAAGCCGCCAGTGATGGAAGTACGGGATATGAGCCAGTTAAAAGCGTTTCAGTAGCTCTTCTCTCCTAATCAGGTCCGCCATGCCGGCTCAGGTTCTGAGACTCAGCTTCGCGTCTCCTGGGACAGCATCTTGAATGCGGAACAGACGGGTCGCTGGTGGATTGTGGGGTCTGCCTGGAGCGGGGCCCCAATGATTGACAACAGTCAGCTTATGCACCTGCAGAAGCAGCCAGCGGGGACGGTAGGGACGCCTGTGCTCCAGGCTGCCAGGTGGCAGCATCTCCCTGTGTGGTGTGTGGTCACGGCTTCACCTGGAGCTGCTCCCCTGCTGTTCCTGAATGGTTTCTGAAATCTGCAAGGTCTCCTTGGAGGCCTTAGATGCCGTTGATATTACGTTGGGATATAATCACTCCGTGTCTGTTCTCACTGGATTTTAACAGTCCCAAAACACAAACGCAACAGATCTGAAAGTTGAATGGCAGGGGACAGGGTAGCTCGCGAGGATCTGAATGCTCGCTGAGCACGCATCCGTTCCTGAGGCCGCTCTTGCTGCCTCCCGCGCTGTGCGTGCCGGCCCACAGACCGTGGATTTCACATTGTGGAAATTCAAGTCCAGAGCTAATCGAGAGGATTCTGCGTCGCTCGTGGTGGGCATGGTTCCCCAGGCTCTGCCAGTGACCGGTTCTCTGTGTTTTATTTAATCACCACTTAACCCTGAGGCTGAACCACTACTGAGAGGTCTCCCACCTTGAGTGGTTTTCTCCAGTGGCTGTGTCTTCACTGTGCTTTCCCCTGGCAGGGGTTGCCCAAGAGTGGACTTAGTGCTAACGTTCAAACACTCATGTAGACCTCACAGTTGGACTTCAGTTACGCTGAAGTAGGGTGTGGCATCTCTCAGGAAGCGGTTTGCGTGGAGACGTGCGTGTGACTTGTTCATTGATCATGCTTTCAGGTCAGCTCAAAGATCCTAGAACTCGCCCGGAAGCAGAGGATGAACACAGACATCAGGAGAAACATATTCTGCACGATCATGACAAGTGAAGATTTTCTGGATGCTTTCGAAAAGCTTCTGAAGTAAGCCTTTGTGTGCACATTTTGGCCCACCAATGAGGTGCTGTAAAGGAAATGATGATGTGGTTCTGAGCTTTGAATGACTGAGTCCAGTGCTGCTCAGGGAGGACTGGGTTTTCTTCTCACCACCCGCTCACCTGTTAGATCTGTGTATCCCTTAATCATCTTCCTAGTAATTTGCCTCTAGTGGTTCCCCATTAGAACAGTTTATGATATATAAAGATTAGGGGCTTGGGGGTTTTATTGAGACAGGGTCTTGCCATGTTGCCCAGGCTGGAGATTGGGGAGTTTTGACTAAAAGAATTAGATGATCTTCTCAGTGGCTGTTGCTGGCCATGAATTGCTTAAACATACATAAATCTTCATAATAAAGTTGTTCTGATTCTTCATTTAAAAACTCCTGGCATAGTTTCTGTGATTAGTTGTAATAAGACTTTAAAGATCCTCTAATCCGGCTACTTAGAAGGCTGAGACAGGACCATCACTTTAGCCCAGGAGTTCCAGACCAGCCTGGGCAACATACTGAGACCGTATCCCTTTAAAAAAAATAACCTGTAAATGTACCTGTGTACTTTTGTTAGGTACTTCTAAACACTTTAATGTTAATACATTTTCTTTTATTTGCTTCAGACTAGGATGAAATACAAGGAGAAGACGGTTCATTTTAGGATTCTGATATTAGGGTTTTATTTTCTAAACTGGGGTGCCTAGTTGAAGCGGAACCCCTAAGCCTCCTTCGCCTGTCTGTGGCCTTGCTGCTGTGCCGAATACATCCTGTCTCACTAGTTACTCTTTGTCTCTAAAAGGGCTCTTTTGAGGAGAGCTCTTACCGGTCAACGGGTCTAGCTTATCCTTTGTACTCGGAAGGACTTTTAGTTTTCCTCTGGTTGACTTCGTGTTTGGAAAATTTCGGCCTATCAAACTACATCTGTTAAACAATAATTTTTCCCATTGTTATTCATCAAAATCATGAGTTACGAATCTAAGTTTTTAACATGAATTGATAACACATGCAGCAAAAATCACGTGGCTCTTCGGGCTGCCTGAGCTGCCTCCAGGTCGGTGCTCTCCGTGGGGCTGCGCCGTTTTGCGGTGTAGCTGAGGCTTCTCTCCTAAGGTAAAGAGCGTCTGCCTCTGTGCAGAGGTGGCAGCCTCAGATCTCACCAGAAACTGCATACAGCCCATGTGCCCCTCAGCTGGGGAAAGGCTATACCGTGAGACGTAGTCTGAGGGATACTCATTACTCTTGGCATCACAAGGGGCAAACTCCCAAGGCCCCAACAGCACGGTGACTCCCAAGTGCATTCTGCCAGTGCTGAAAGCCACCCTACCCTGAATCTGTGTGACAGAGGCAGAGGCAAAACCAGAGGGACAGAAGTAGATCAGTGATGGGTGGCTCCCGGCCCAGGGTCCTCACAGGTGATGGGGAGTTGTGTTTTGGCAGTGGCAGTGGTGACCTGACTGTATGGGCTTATCCACACTCACAGGACTCTGTACTACAAAGGATAGGTTTTACTGCCTGTGAGCTCTAACTCAAGTTTTTTGGTTTTTTTTTTTTTTTTTTTTTAGTTGGAGTCTAGCTCTGTTGCCCAATTTGGAGTACAGTGGCTCAATCTCGGCTCGTTGAAATCTCAGCCTCCTGGGTTCAAGCAGTTCTCCTGTCTCTGCCTCTCAGGTAGCTAGAATTACAGGCATGAGCCACCATACCCGGCTAATTTTTGTATTTTTAGTAGAGACGGGATTTTACCATGTTGGCCAGGCTGGTCTTGAACTCCTGACCTCAGGTGTTTTACCCGCCTAGGCCTCCCAAAGTGCTGGGATTACAGGCGTGAGCCACCACGCCTGGCCCCCTAACTCAAGTTTTAAAAACAAAAATATGGCCGGGCTCATCGCAACCAGAGAGGTTGTGACGGGGCTGGGACCCTAGCTGGTGTCTACTGCTGCCTCTACCTCCCCTACCTGGCTCACCTCTAACCAGACCCTTCCAGGCAGGAAGGTGTTCCTCTGAAAGGTATCAGCCATTCAACTTGGGAAGCTGAGTGACATTCCAGTCATTGCTGTTCTGTTTTTTAGGCTTGGACTTAAGGATCAGCAAGAGAGAGAAATCATTCATGTTCTCATGGATTGCTGCCTTCAAGAGAAAACTTACAATCCCTTCTATGCTTTCTTGGCTAGCAAATTCTGCGAATATGAAAGGAGATTTCAGGTAACTTAGTGCAGAGGCACCAGTTTCATCTGCTCTGCTGTTTTTTCTAAACATGCTGCCTGGCTCAACCCACCTGCAAAAGAGTTTCCCAAGTCAGAAGGCCCCTGAAGTCCCAGTCACATGGTCCACCCTGGCTGCCAGGGCACGTTCCCTGAGAGTGGAAGTGGGATGGCTACAGGGGAGTGTCGAGGGTCCACCGTGTCCTCACGTCACCATCTGCCACAGATGCAGGCAGCGTGTGGCCAGCAGCAGGAGCGCCTCACCGGTTCACGCTGCACCAGCCTCTTCTGACGTCACTCGCTGTGCCTTTGCCTTAGAATATTCTGTTGGTGTCTGCTGATTTGAGGGAAAAAAACTGCACCAGCAAGAGACTGTTGAGAAGCTGTTGGGAACTGTGGTCTATAGGAAAGAGCAGTGAGGTCGCCACTAAGTCTTGATGTTTAGAATATTAAAAAGAAGATAATAAGAAAAGAATACCTTTAGGTCGTGTTCTTAGTGATGTATTGTGATAATTTGCAGCTGGTTGGTTACCTTTTTCCTTCTATTAACTGCGCTACTAGATGACTCTCCAGTTCAGCATATGGGACAAATTTCGGGACCTGGAAAACTTGCCAGCTGTGAATTTCTCTAATTTGGTTCATCTGGTGGCTCACTTGCTAAAGACAAAATCGCTTTCACTTTCCATTTTAAAGGTGCGTATAATGTGTGAAAATATTTAAAGCAGTGGAAACGAGGGTACAGTGGTTGACATTAGGTCTGTTTTACCAGTGCGTTTTCTTTGGTTCTGGTTCACCTGGAAAGTACTTCTTTATCCCAGCCAGCATAGAAAATGGCCAGACTAACATACGGTACAAATTGACCTGATAAATCAAGGCACGGTTACAGTTCTTTTGCTAATCCGAGTGAATCTGGTTTTGGGGTTTGAGGTTAATGTGCTGGTGCTAATTATAAAATCCTGAACAGGTCACTGTTAGTGAGAAGGGTGGACAAAGCAGGGCCTGGTCTCTTTTGAGGTGAGGCACGTTTGCTCACTTTGATGTAAGTTGTTTTCAAACTGTAGGCTTTCTCCTGCCCTGCAGTATTTTGGGACTTTGCAGTGGACCTTGAAACCTAGACATCTTTTTTTTCCTTTTGAGATGAAATGTTGCTCTGTCACTCAGGCTGGAGTGCAGTGGCACGATCTCAGCTCACTCTAACCTCAGCCTCCTGGAGCCAAGCGATTCTCCTGCCTCAGCCTCCTGAGTAGCTGGGACTGTAGGCACCCGCCACCATGCCTGGCTAATTTTTTTTTTTTTTTAGTAGAGATGGGGTTTCACCATGTTAGTAGCCAGGCTGGTCTCGAACTCCTGATCTTGTGATCTGCCCACCTTGGCCTCCAAAGTGCTGGGATTACAAGCGTGAGCCACCACGCCCAGCTGAAACCTAGACACCTTATCAGATGTAGTGGGCGTTCGAAGTGGGCTTGTAAGGCTCAGATGGTGGGACCACTAGACCCTGAAAAGCCTAAAAAATTTGGAGAGCCTGAGGGGCAAAGGGAAGTGAAAAGCAGAGATGGTTCAGGGGCGTTGACCACAGTGGCCTGATCGGCAAGACAGGTGCTGTGTGTTTCCACGTGTCCTGTGCACTCATCAGCACACCTGCTCCAGATCACCTGTGGCCCTTCCTGTGTGGTGTCCAGGTGTGGCCACTGCACTGAAAACGAGGGTCCAGAGCCTCATGCCAAATTCTGGCAACTGGGATAACTTAGAACATGGAAGAGGCATCGTTCCCCTCTGCCCCACTTCAGGCATTGCGCATCCTGGAACAGCATGGGTGCTACTGCGGATGAGTGGGAGAGGCGTGTGGCAGGAGCGCGGCCTTCGCCGCAGAGCTTTAGAGCTGCCTCTCCCAGCCTGACTGCCCTCATTCCGAGTTTCTCTGGGTTTTGGCCATGCTTTTGTGGTCTTGCTGTGCCCTCGGGTCTGGAAGCACCTGTGATGGTGTTGGCTGCGGACCTCCCAGTGGGCAGCATTCCTCTCTGAGCTAGAAGAAGAAGCTGATGCCCTCCTCTAGCTCACTGACATTCACCTAAGATGCAGTCCGTCCGTGTTGGCGTGAGTCTGTTCCGGGTAGCATCTTACTGCATACGTTTGCAGTTCACACGTTTATTCTGCCTATCCGTGTTTAAGTTACTTCTGATTTTTTGATAGTTTTCTAGGAGAGAGAGATACATGGATTAGTCTCCTGGAAGTAAATTTTATATATGTATAGTTTTAATTAGGGGATGGGTGATTTAGGGAATGGAGATAATTTGTTTCAGTTCTAGATACTAAATTTCTGATTCATAAGGTGTATGTCCCAGGAATTCCATTTACACTGCTGAGTTGTTCTCGACGGTAGCTGCGGCCGGCCACACCTCTGCCAGCGGTGTATAGGGATTCCCAAGGCCCACATCCTTGCCAGCAGCTCTGGAAATAGCTTCGTAAATCAGGGTAGAGTGGGGGGTGGGGTGGGGGAGAATAATTTTTACTCTAACTATGTTTACAAATCATTGAAAAAGTTGGCTAAATCAATGTAACATTTTTCCCTATGTCCTGACCATTAGGTAGTTGAATTCAGTGAATTGGACAAACCCAGAGTCCACTTTCTACGAAAAGTGTTAAGTATCCTGTTAATGGAAACAGAAGTTGAAGACCTCGGTTTAATTTTCACACGGTATGTGCTCCACTTGTTCTGATGAGACGTGGAAGACAGATGGGGAGATGGTTTGCGCTTGTGTTGATTTATAAACACAAGGTTGTACTCATTTCAGTTTTATTTTTAAGCAAGTGTGCTTTATCAGATTTGGGGAATAGAAACTTGTCCACTAGTAAACTAACAATGAACAGTGGTTAGTAATAATAAAATAAGAAGTTCTTTGTGTTTTTTGTTTGTTTTTTGAGACGGAGTCTCATTCTGTCACCAGACTGGAGTGCAGTGGTGTGATCTCGGTTTTTTGCAACCTCCACCTCCCGTGTTCAAAGCGATTCCCCTGCCTCAGCCTCCCAAGTAACTACAGGCACACGCCATCATGCTCAGCTAATGTGTGTATATATATACATTTATTTATTTATTTTTGTACTTCAGTAGAGACAGAGTTTCGCCATGTTGGCCAGGATGGTCTTGAACTCCTGACCTGGTGATTTTCCCACCTCGGCCTCCCAAAGTGCTGGGATTACAGGCGTGAGCCACCACACCTGGCCAGGAGGTTCTTAATTGAGAATTCTATTTTTAAAAGAAACTGGTTATGTCTCACTATGCAAGATAAAAATTACTCTCACCCCACCCCTCACCCCCCACCCTACCCCTGATTTAAGAAACTATTTCCAGAGCTAAGAAATGAACACCTGTTGGCAAGGATGTGGGCCTAGGGAATTTCTGTACACTGCAGGCAGATCCAGGAGCGGCTAGCTCACCCCTGACATGTTGATGCGATTCCCTTCCAGAGTGTCTGACAACCCGAAGCTGGGGATACTGCGTGAGGGCTTGAAGCTGTTCATCAGCCACTTCTTGCTAAAGAACGCACAGGCCCACAGAAGCGCCGAGGAAGCCAACGTGCTGAGAGCGAGAGCTGACCTTGCTACAAAGGCTCTGCAAGGAAAAGCTGCCCTGAGAATGTAGTCAGGGAAAAAGGAGCGCAGGTGGCCCTTTGACTGTCAACCGTCCTTATTCTGTTGGCTGCGTGTGAAAGTTTGCTAGAGCTGTGTCACTGTCTGTTGTTGTATTATGTTTTGAGATAACGTTTTTTATCTAAGGTTTTACAGTTTGTATTCCGAACCATTTTTAAATAACTATACCTTGGGGGTGAGAGGAGGAGGGAGGGGAAGGAGGTGCAGGCACACTGGACAGGGTTCTCTAAGCAGTGAGGCTGGGATGTGATCGTCTTACAGTTTTTCAGTAGATATGGCCAAGCCTGACGGCTCACCCCTGTCATCCCAGCACTTTGGGAGGCTGAGGCAGGCGGATCACTTGAGGCCAGGAATTTGAAACCAGCCTGGGCAACATGGCAAAACCCCATCTCTACTAAAAATACAAAAATGAGCCAGACATGGTGGCACATGCCAGTAATCCCAGCTACTGGGGTGGCTGACCACACAAGAATCACTTGAACCCCAGAAGTAGTTGCAGTGAGCGGGGATTGCACCACTGCACTTCCCCCTGGGCTGGACAGTGAGACTTTGACAGACTGTCAAAAAAATTAATAGATAAGATAGGCCACTAGAGGGTGCAGCTATAAAGAAGTTGATGAGTTTTACCTTTTTAAAGTATTGACACGGAGTCTCGCCTTGTTGCCCAGGCTGGAGTGCAGTGGTGTGCGACCTTGGCTCACTGCAACCTCTACCTCCTGGGTTCAAGCGATTCTCCTGCCTCGGCCTCCTGAACGGCTAGTACTACAGACGTGCACCACCATGCCTGGCTAATTTTTGTATTTTCAGTAGAGTTGGGGTTTCACCATGTTGGCCAAGATGGTCTTGAACTCCTGACCTCAGGTGATCCACCCGCCTCGGCCTCCCAAAGTGCTGAGATTACAGGCACGAGCCACCGTGCCTGGCTTAAATGTGATCCTTGATATTTTAAGTATTTGGGATGCAGCTGAACTTTGGAAAAATCGGCTGACATAAGCCCTGTGGATATGGTCTTAGGTACAGTGTAGTACAGACAGGCGATTTTCATCGCCCCTCAGGTAGCATTTTGACAGTAGAGGATATTCATCTCACTAATTCCATACTGCAAATGTACCTTCTTAAGGAACTCTGAGGACACCACATAGTAGTTATTTGACTCTTAATAGGTGCTGCTTGTTTGCAAGGATTTGGAGACGTAAACATGAAGAAAATGCAGTAATTTCTGCCGGCAGAGAACTAACGGCATTTAGCTAGTGAGGGGAGCAAACACACCCCACTTGCTAAGTCTGGAAAAGCAATTCTGTGAGGAAGCAGAAAGGGTCCTGGACACCCAGCCTCTCTAGCGGCTACTCAGATGTTGAGTGTTTCCCAGCACTTACATTTTCCTTTTCTCCCTCAAATGCTACAGACGTAACCTTTGATTGTTGAAAAAAGTCACTAAGATATGGATATAGAATAGACACTGAGAAGTTACTTAGGTCCAAGTCCAGTTGCTGCTGTCCTCTTTCCAAGTGGTCATGTTGGGCAGATGGGCACAGGTGCTGGTGATGTCACTCCCATGCAAAACACCCCCTTTGTGGCACTTTCAGATTTTTTTTTTTTTAAGAGAGAGACAGGTTCTCACTCCGTCACCCAGGCAGGAGTGCAGTGGTGCGACCATAGTTACTGCAGCCTCCAATTCCTGGACGGAAGCAGTCCTGCCTCAGCCTCCCGGGTAGCTAGGACCACAGGCGATAGAGACGAGATCTCCCTGTGCTATACAGGCTGGGCCTGAACTCCCGGCCTCCCAAGCACAGGGATCATAGGTGTGAGCCCCCATGCCTGGCCTCAGATTTTATTCTAACTCGGCCCTATAGCCGTTTATGTTTCACCGTCAGAACGTGCAGGCGTAAGTCTCTCTTACCCCTAAGCTAACGCTTTAAGTTTTGAAGCGTGTGCAAGCAGCATGAAGATGCAGAAGGTAGCTGTGAAGCAGCACGGACTGTCCTCCGCCTACAGACATCCTGTGCCAGCCTTCAGCACTGCCCTTCCACCCCAGGGCAATGTCTGTCTTCTAGCAGGTTCTGAATTCAGTGACAGGTACTAAGAGGAGTGAATTAAGTGAAAATCTTCCCCTTGTTAAGGAGCTTTTTAACAAGAATGTCTTTGCTGGGTGGTGATGGGGACATAACAGACAGTTCCACTGGATGCGTAGCTTGACAGTAAGATAAGGAGCTTGGGCTGGGGTATAAATCCACACACTGCTCTCTTCCTCAGGAAAGTCGTGCTGTGAAGAAAATGTCAGTTGAACTAAATTGTGCTTAACGCCACACTCGATTTGCATTCTGATGCAAGCCCCAGCTCACAGACCAAGGGGATCCCTGGCAGCCTGGGAATAGACCACATTGGAGTGGCGTTAACATAACGATGTCGGCCGGGCGGGTGGATCACAAGGTCAAGAGATCGAGACCATCCTGGTTAACATGGTGAAACCCTGTCTCTACTAAAAATACAAAAATTAGCTGGGCACGGTGGCACGTGCCTGTAGTCCCAGCTACTCGGGAGGCTGAGGCAGGAGAATTGCCTGAACCCAGGAGGCGGAGGTTGCGGTGAGCCGAGATTGTGCCACTGCACTCCAGCCTGGCGATGGAGCGAGACGCTGTCTCCAAAAAAAAAGCACAACCGATGTCAATAAGAATGAATTATGGGTGGAACTACTAAGATTAGGAAAAAGTATCACAACAGCAGCACTGTCTGACTTCATTATGTGTCACATGCAGCAACCCTTGTTTGAGGTAGAGATGAACCGAAGCTGATTTTCCTGCAAAGATAAATTTCTATAAACAATTCCATTTTTATATTGTCTTTTATTACTAAAAATACCTCTCTTTGCTATAGGGTATATTTATGACTTAAATTATTAGCTAAGGTTTGCATTTCATATATGGTAGATTGCCTGTAAGTCTGCACATTTTAACAACATATGGGCCAGGTGGGGTGGCTCACGTCTGTAATCTCAGCACTTTGGGAGGCTGAGGCGGGTGGATCACTTGAGCTCAAGAGTTTGAGACCAGCCTGGCCAACATGGCGAAACCCCGTCTCTACTAAAAATACAAAACTTAGTTGGGCGTGGTGGCAGGCACTTGTAATCCCAGCTACTCCGGAGACTGAGCAAGAGAATCGCTTGAACCTGGGAGATGGATGTTGCAGTGAGCAGAGATGGTGCCACTTCACTTCAGCCTCGGTGACAAGAGTGAAACTGTCTCAAAACAAAAAAACATATATGGGCTGTTAAGTAGTAATTATACTTTAGTATAGATAGTAAATACATCTTGACTAAAAGCTATGAATTCAGAATTGCTTTTAAATATATAGGTTTTTAAAATTTATTCCAATGCAATTGAAAATACACGTAAACTACAGGATGCTTAGACAATGCTCAGTGTTACATGTGAACTTGTGGACTCTGTGGTGTGGTTTGAGGACTGCTAATGTAGGGGATCTCGTCTTTAGGGTATAAGGATCAAACTTTAATGTATTGAAGTGTGTAAATAAATTTTATTTTTTAATACTTTGTTTAGAGTAACAGTGAATGTTTATTTTGAAAGACGAGCTTGGCCGGGCACAGTGGCTCACCCCTGTAATCCTAGCACTTTGGGAGGCCGAGGCGGGTGGATTGCCTGAGGTCAGGAGTTCGAGACCAGCCTGGCCACGTGGCAAAACAGTCTCTACTAAAAATACAAAAATTAGCTGGGTGTGGTGGCACATGCCTGTAATCCCAGCTACTTGGGAGGCTGAGGCAGGAGAATCACTTCAACCTGCAGGGGGAGATTGCAGTGAGCCAAGATTGTGCCACTTCACTCCAGCCTGGACGAAAAAGCAAGATTCCTCTCAAAAAAAAAAAAAGAGAGACAAGTATGCTAGTATACCTTTTCTTTGCCTTTTAAGACGACTATTTAGCTGTATGATTTAGGAAAAAGATTCATTCTCTCCATCCCAGAGAGAGAGAGAGCTCAGGAAGTGAAGCATTAGCTTCTGGAGAACTTGGGGGAGGTTTATGCAGGTGAAGTGCGTTCGTGTAACTTTTCTATAAGTATGTCATTGTTTCAAAATAGATGTTTGAAAGCACTCATAATTCAGAACTCAAAGATCTAAAATATACTATTTTACAAAAATAATTAACAGACTGATTCAAATCACCTTTGCCTCCTTCCTAAAAAATTGCTGAGGCCTTGGAGTGAAACTGCTAAGATTTACCTTAACCTTAGGGCGAGTTGGTTTCCTTCAGCTTGGTCTGGTGAGTGCCTGGGCTCCCTGTCGCACTGCCTGCACTGGCAGGGGAGGAGGACAGCTGGAGAACAGAAGGAGGGAACGTCCTGTCATTGGCCGCATTCAGCGGCTTCGGTATCAAGTGCTGCACTGATGGGCTTGGTGTCAGTGGATGTTCAGATTACCCAAGCACCTGCATCCCTTTAGGGTTGAATAGAGTGTAGAAGGGTGCCAGCACCCCTCCCTGCTGTGGCGGGTGTTGCAAGGGCCAGGTCAGATTCATTCATTCTCTTAGAGGTAGCTGGGTAGCTGGGCCCAGATTCTTTCCGAACCACTAGGAAGTTGCAACATCAAATCCCTTCACGCCTAAATGCTTCCCTACATCTTTCCTAAAATCAGGAACATTTACTGCTGGAACCACAGTGTCATCAGAGTAAGGAATTGACGCTGACAGAACACTGACAGAATGTCCCTCGGGTTTTCCTGCTGCCTCTCAAGTCACCCCACAAGTTAATTGTTTAGGACGATCATTTGTCTCCAGTTCTGCACTTACATTCAGGAGCAGTTCTGGGTAGGTCAGGATCAGGGTTCTGAGGCTGCATGCAGGCCCACCGTCTTCTGAAGCTTCCCAGGGGCTGGGGAAGCCACTTCCAAGATGGCCCCTCTTACTGCTGGGCAAGACAACCACCAGCCATGGAGGGCCAAGGGTGGGCTCTGTGGGACGGCTTCAGGATCCTTACAACATGGCTGCTGGCTGCCAACAGGGAATCCCTGCTCAACACCTGTGACTTAGCTCAGGAAGCCACACTCAACTCCACAGTATTCTCGGCACAGAGGTCAGCCTGATCCCAGCAGAGGGGCCTGCAGAATGGCAGGAAAGTCAGGAAGTGAGGTTGTATGTCAAGATCTGACTGAATATCCTGTTCCTCGCCAAACTTCCACCCCCACTCTCAGCACCCGTGAGCACTAGTTGAATTATACCACAGTGGTCGGGTGGTGGTATTTTCTAACTCCATCGTTCCTTCTACATTAATTAGCATCCAACAATAAGAAGCATTTCATTGGTTTACCCTCAGTATGGACTCATAGATTGTTATTTTATTCAATAGGTCATATAATTTTTAAAAACCACTTTATGGACATGTGATTGGCATGTGAAAAGCCGTACGTATTTAATGTGCACAGGTCGGTGAGTTTGAGGATAAGTATACACACGTGAAATCACCACCACCATACATACCATCACCTCCCAGAGTTTCTGACTGCCCCCTTTATTATTACCCTCTTAGCAAGTTTTAAGTACAGAATGCAGTATCGTTGGCTGTGGGCCCATGCTGTATAGTAGCTTACCAGAACTTACTCATGCTGTGTCACCGAATCTTTGTACCCGTGACTGTTACCTCCCATTCCCCTCTCCCCATGGCCCCTGGCAGCTATCCTGCTCTCCGCTTCTGTGAGTTTGACGGTTTTAGATTTCACTGTGAGATCATGTGGCATTTGTCCTTCTGAGCCTGGATATTTCACTTGACAATGTCCTCCAGTTTCCTTCATGCCATCACAAATGACAGGCTCTCCTTCCTTCTTAGGGCTGTATAGTATTCCATTGTATACATATACCACATTTTCTTTATCCATTAGGTTGATGCTGTACCTTGGCTATTGTGACTAGGGCTGAAATGAACATGGGAATGTGGATGTCTCTGAAATAGTGACATTAGCTATTTTAGGTGTATACCCAGTTGTGGGATCACTGAATCATATGCAGGTTCTGTTTTTAACTTTTTGAGGACTTCCCTACTGCTTTCCATGATGGCTACACCACTTCACATTTCCACCAACTGCGTGTAAGGAGAGAGGTATGGGTTCCCTTTTCTCCACACCTTTGCCAGCACTTACCTTTTGTTTTCAATGATAGCCGCTCTAACAGGTGCCAGATGATACTTCACTGTGGTTTGGATTTTCATTTCCCTGATGATTAGGGAAGTTGAGCATCTTTTCATATACCTTTCGGACATTTGTGGATCTTCCGTGGAGAAATGTTTGTATGCAGCCTTTGCCCAATTTTATCAGTGTTTGGGGAGTTTTTGATTTGGTTTTGTTATTTGTGGGTTTTGGTTTTCGTTTTGCTATCCCGCCGTGGGAGTGTGTTTTGGATGGTAACCCCTCGTCAGATCTGTGGTTCACGAGTATTTTCTCCCACTGTGTCATCTGCCCTTTCAGTTCGTTTTCCTTTGCTGTGCAGAAGCTTTTCGTTGGATGTGATCCCATTTGTTTATTTTTGCTTGTGCTGCCTGTGTTTTTGCGTTCACATCCAAAAAGTTATTGCCTAGACAAGTGTTGAGGAATTTTTCCCTGTTTTCTTCGAGGAGTTTTATGAGTTCAAGTCTTAAGGGATTTAAGTCTTTAATGCATTTCAGTTGATTTTTGTATATGGTTTAACATAAGTGTCTAGTTCCATCCTTTTCTGTCGGACATCCACTTTTCCCACACCATGTATTGAAAACACTATCCTTTCCTCATTGTGTATTCTTTGCACCCTTGTCAAATATTAGTTGACTGTTTATGTGTGGGTTTATTTCTGGCCTCTCTGTTCTGTTCCCCTGGTCTGTGTATCTGTTTTTATGCCAGGGCCAGACTGCTTGGATGACTAAAGCTTTGTAATATATAGTCACGTGCCACATAATGACATTTTGGTCAATTAACAACCATATAACAGTGGACGCATAAGATTATGGAGCTGAAAAGTCCTTTTTCTATGTTTGGATGTACAAATATTGTGTTATGAGTGCTTACGGTATTCAGTACAGTAACATGCTGTGTGGGTTTGCAGCCAAGGAGTAACAGGCTATGCTGTACAGCCACAGTGTGTAGTAGGGGATGCTGTCTTGTGTAAGTGTCCTCTGTGATGTTCGAACAATGATTAAATCACCTAACAACACATATCTCAGAATGTATTGCTGTCTTTAGCGACACTTAACTGTAGCTGTTTTGTTTTTGTTTTTGCTTTTTGAGACAGTCCCACTCTGTCACCCAGGCTGGAGTATAAAGGTGTGATTTTGGCTCACTGCAACCTCTGTCTCCTGGTTCAAGTGACCCTCATGACTCCCAAGTAGCTGGGATTGCAGGTGCCCACCACCACACCCAGCTAATTTCTGTATTTTTAGTATAGACAGCGTGTCTTTACATTGGCCAGGCTGGTCTCAAACTCCTGGCCTCAGGTGATTCACCTGCCTCAGCCTTCCAAAGTGCTGGGATTACAGGCATGAGCCAACGCACCGGCCAACTGTAGTTCAAAATTAGTAAGTGTGATGCCTTCAGCTTTGTTCTTTCTCAGGATGGCTTTTGCTCTTTGGGGTCTTTGGTAGTTCCCTGTGAATTTTAGGGTTGGTTTTTGTTTTGTTTTGTTTTGTTGTTTGTTTTTCAGACAGAGTCTCACTCTGTTGCCAGGCTGGAGTGCAGTGGCGCAATCTCAGCTCACTGCAACCTCCGCCTCCTGGGTTTCAAGTGATTTCTCCTGCCTCAGCCTCCCAAGTAGGTGGGACTATGGGCTGGCACGTGCCACCACGCCCAGCTAATTTTTTTAGTTTTAATAGAGACAGGGTTTCACCATGTTGACCAGGATGGTCTTGATCTCTTGACCTCATGATCCACCCGCCTCGGTCTCCCAGAGTGCTGGGATTATAGGTGTGAGCCACCATGCCCGGCCATTTTTTTTTCTATATATGTGAAAAATGCCATTGGAAGTTTGATAGGGATTGTATTGAATCTCTAGATCACTGAGTACCATGGACATTTTTAATCAATGTTTTTTTTTTTGAGAGAAGAAAAAAAAGGAATGAAGGAGAGAAAGACAGAGGAAGAAAAAGGGAGAGAGAACAAGAATGTTGTTTTATTCTAAAAATGGGTATTGAAAACCTCTTTTATGCCAATAATTGTGCTTAATAATGGCCGATCAATATTTCATTTAAACCTATGAGTAGGTGTGATGTGGTACTGATAAGAATGCATATCTGGTGTGTTTAAAGTGGAGAGCTTTATAAATGTTTATTAAGTTTACTTGTTCCAGATCTGAGTTCAAGTCCTGGATATCCTTATTAATTTTCTGTCACATTGATCTATCTAATATTGATGTTGAAGTCTCCCACTATTATTGTGTGGGAGTCTAGGGAGTCTAAGTCTCTTTACAGGTCTTATGTATCTGGGTGCTCCTGTATTGGGTGCGTATATATTTAGGATTGTTAGCTCTTCTTGTTGCATTGATCCTTTTACCATTATATCTGTGTTGCTTTAAAATCTATTTTATCA